AAGAAGCACTGCAGTATTCAAGACCGATTTTGCGAGTGTTGCTTTATACATACCAGCACTACAACTTAAAGTACCCTAAGGGGAACTATTTTGAGCATAGGCATGGCATGCGATACTTACCTGAATTAAATCAAAACGGTTGTACAAGTTTGAAAGGATATAAAGTTTTAAAGCCAAAGGCATGAGACCCTGGAGATCATGGTCTTCAGGTCTTCATTAGTTTCTTATTTCCATTGACAGGAGCATCTTGTGGTCATAAAACTCCAAGGAGTCATAGACAATGAATTCTTGTACAGCTGCGAGTCGTCAAATTGTCGACTTTTGGTGAGTGTTTATATGTGTATTAATATACACCTTGGCCCTGAGTCTGACCACTGACCCTGAATATGTCTTGAGTTTGTCAAGATCACAAGGAAAATGAACAAGCCAAAACACAAGAGGATGGGGCTGCAGTCACTGTCACGCTTTAGGACTCACACTCATGTTCCATGCTTACTCTCGCTCAAAGACAATAAAAACTCACATGACAAAAACAATTCTGTGAACAGATAAATAAGTTCAGTTCTTCCTATTACTACATGTAGGTGTGGTCTCTAGAGTTTTAAGGTCTACTGTAGAAGATGACACTGTTCCCTTGCTGCTAGCCCACATGTATCCTTGCGCACCCTCCATCCTCAATGAAAAATGATAAGAGGGGGGCAATGCCCCCATTCCATTCTTCATTAGCAATTGGATTGCACTATCATGCCCCAGGGATGTCGTTAACTGCCAGCTGCCAGCTAATTTCACCAACTGAAAGAGAACTGGCATTTTAGGACGCATACTGTAATTCAAGGGCTGCTGGCTCTGCTTTGAAGACATGTAGTAATTAATAGGGAAGTCCTGCTAGTTTAAGAATCCAGATTCCAATATACAGCTATCTTAGATTGTACAAGTGAATCCCTTTTTACTACATCCACATCTAATATTTATTGTTCTTAGGGTATTGATACTGATGAGCCTGTGCTTCAGATTGGGAATTATACATTCATTGGAGAGTTTAAAGGTAGGATGCTCAATCTTACATTTAGCTTTGCTCAAGACTACAGTACGTTGCTAAGTACAGTGTACATGTAACAACGTACCAAGGAGTGCTAATGACAATCAATTAGCTTTAACAGGGCTGTTGGTAGCCTTTCGGGAAGTTTGCTAAAAAAGTAAATAACACTTAGGCAGCTGTATTAATTTTAACATGGCTTCTCCTGGGTGCTGTCATAATTTTGGTCATTTTCAAACTTTGATTTGCTAGTCATCTTCGCTACAGTTGGCCAGCCACTAACACTGGTAGCTAGTTGTTATCTACAAAAGAAAGTGCTCTAAGACATACTTGTCAGTTTTTCCTGTGGGGATGGATTACAATTAAAATAAACATTTTATTAATAATATTATTTGACTATCTATATAGACATCAATATCATGGTCATCACCACCATCATCAACAACAACAAAAACGACAACATCTTTGTTGACAGATTGAACAAAAAGGTTTTTATTATGAATAATATTATTGTAATGGCATACCTGGTAACGGGAAATCATCTTTTTTCAGAATCTCTTGGAACACATGTATTATTTGAGGAACTAGGTAATACTTTAATTAGTCTACTGAGAAATAACTTGTCATATATTACTTAATAATATACATGAAAAAATTACTCAATTCTGATTGGCTGAGAGCAGTGCAGCTCAAGTGTAACACCGGTGCAAAAAGTGTAATACCAGTGCAAATTACACATCGTAATTCTGGATTATGATTGGCTGAAAGACAATAGGAAATTTTCTATGCCAATGATATTCAGTAAAATGATGACGAAAATTTTGCGTGGAAACTTTGAAAAAAGTTTTCTCGAATTTGAAAAAAACAGCTTCAAGAAAGGTCTTCCGGCACTTCTTCCATGCAAATTTTTTCATGTTTATATTATTAATAAGTAATCATACGGTTTTTCTCGTTCATTTTGGAATTAATTAACACTTGAGAGTTTTTCAAAAAGCTGAAATTGCACTCGCCGAAGTGGCTTGTGCAATTTCAGCTTTTTGAAAAACTCACTCTTGTAAATTAATTCCAACTTGAACTCGAAACCATATGATTACCTATACAAATAATTATATTTTTATTATTATTATTTACAGTAAAATTGAGTGCATGGTTATAGATTGAGACTACAGGTTTTAAGCTTCTTGTGGACAGGACCATAGCCTGAAAAAAATAATGACTGAGGCAATGTCCCTGGTTAAATTCTCTTCCTAGGTATTTAGCAGTGTTTTACTTTCCCCATCAAAAAATAAAACAAAAATGAACAAGTTACTAACTTTAAGGCAAGTGCCTCAGTTTGCCTCATATTGGCTTCAAACCTGCGTGGATTGCCTCCGTCTGTTGAAATTAACACTATTAGTTTTGCTTTATGCTCTCAGCCCTGGTTATTCATGATAGTGATACTGATATTCCCATCATTGCAAGTACTGTTTTGAACTTGATTTGTAGAAATACCTTTTTAAATGAAACATACTCAACTGACATTACACTTGCTGTGCACAGCACATTCAACTTTTGAGAGATTGTCAACTTAGTTTTTACCTGTATCACGCTTGTAACTCTTTTAATGTGCAGTTCCAGAAAATATCCATGCCCACCCCGAGGAATGTTAAGTGATAACACAAATAAGAAGGGAGAGGGGAGCTTTCAAAAGCCAAAATTTTTAAAGGACATTATGAAGCTAAACTGGAATTTTCAGGGCCTGGGGGGGCTCAAACTAGAAAACCTTCTGTGGGAGGAGCATGAATATTTTCTGAAACAACCCAATTTGGGAAGTTTTGAATATAGTGTTTGGGCATACACATAGCTGGGACCACGACAAAGAGCATATAAGGGCTGTCCACTGCTAGAAGGTGGCTCTTTGCAGAGGTTTGACTGTACATGTTCTTTGAAGTGACGATAACTCTTCAGCTGAGCGTTTTAGAAGAATGTTATTTGTTTTCTGTTTAGCATCAAATGATGCGGAGGGATCAAGGCAGTTGAAGTACAAATGCAATACCACAAAAACACTGGAAATGTCCAGGGTTTTCCTGGTGGAAAAGGAAAAGGAAAAAGAAAAAGAACAGGTGAGAAAAACATTATACACACAGTAACTGATTCTCAGCTGTTATTACTCCACTGCAGGTGATTTTCCTGTGTGTTCACCCTCCCTGATGTGCTACTGCATATAAAATTATGTTGCATTATTTTGAAACATTTTTTTTTTCATTACTTTGAGTTACAAATTTGAAATTTGAAATACCATGTTAACAAGTTACACTGGGCTTTAATGGAATTTGGGTACATTCGCACCAACGTCTCTCCAGAAATCAAAATTTTTAAATTAATTTGTTTCGTTGTCAAAGCGTGGTATCTGCTATAAAATTGTTGTTCTTATCACCTTTTTAAGGTACATTCATGCCTTTTTAGTGACTTTGTTAAATATCATTGAAATAACTTACTGTAATTTACTATAATATTATTTATTACTTGGTATGCTGTTTACTGAATAGATACCTGGTCCTTCAAGTGGTGCAGATACACAACAAGAAACTACAGATTCAGAAGGATAACAAGATCAGGAGAAATCTGTTTGTTGTGTTGTTAATTTGAGAGACCATGACCTCTGGATTGCTGTTCAGCGGATTGTGCAGTCCAACTTGCAAAGAACTGTTTGATCTAAACTGAGGCGCCACAGTTAGAAATTACTGTAAGAGAAGTACAATTTTTGTTTTGCTTGATATTGAACAGCAAGAAGGACGCAGGAATTGAAAAAAAAAATGCCATCCAGTCATCCGGGACAAGTAGATTTTCCTAGACTGGGCAAGTAACTTTTCATTTTCGTGGGCAAGGGTCTTAGCAACTCGTCTGCCAACTAAATGAAAGAAGTTAGCACAGTTTGACTCTACAAAGGAGTGAAAGGTGATCAGAGTGATATCGTTAACTTGTTCCAGGACTAAGACCTGTTTGACTTTTATTGTGAAGTGTAAGCAAAAATAGATCAATGACATTGCCATTTTACAGTTGTGTGATCTTAAGAACATTTAATACAACTGCTTACAATATCACTTATTCAATACATTGTCAGGCAGACAAGTACAGCTGTAATAAGATCATCAACTAGGGATAATGTCTAGATGTTCCATTACTGAATTCTCAAGATTAGTATTAGAAGAAATGTATGGAAATCTGTTAGGAGAATTGATATTTCACCTCATGATTCCAAGCACACATTTTTTGTTCTTAAAACATTTTTGAGTTAGTATACTTTCAATATGATTACAGCATTAGAGGTAAAATTACATTGGCGTAACTAGCCCTCATAGCATTATTGTTAATATATTAATCTATTTTTGGATAAAAAAGAATATCTGAACTGTTAAAATAATTTAGCATACAGTATTACATGTACCACCCACTTATAGTACACCACATTGGACTACATCATTTAGAAACAAAGACAAATACTTTTAGTGAATAAGAAAACTTGATT